GCTCTCCACTCTCGTATGCCACAGAAGCTTGACGCTCAGTTCACTCAGATCGTTGAGCGCAGCAAGTCTCGCCACGGAGAGTTCCCCGCCAAGGCTCTCACCAAGGCTTTCAACAAGTTCCTCGAGGACAATGTTGATGCTGGCGATGCTGAACTTCTCAAGGGCACTCTCTCCCCTCTTACCGAGGTTCTCGACATGTACGCCGAGGGCCAGAAGAACCGAGAGCTTAACGTCATTAAGGGTCTTCTTGAGCAGTATTGGGAGGTTGAGAACCTCTTCATGAACCAGCCTCAGGAGGATGCTGTTATTCTTCAGCTGCGTGACCAGCACAAGGAGGACATCATGAAGGTTGTTCACACTGTTCTCTCTCACAGCCGTGTCAGCTCCAAGAGTTCTCTTATCCTCGCCATCCTTGAGGAGTACCGCCCCAACAAGCCTAAGGCTGGAAGCATCGCCAAGAACCTTCGCGAGACTCTCCGCCTGCTCACTGAGCTCCAGTCGCGTCCTACCTCCAAGGTTTCCCTCAAGGCTCGTGAGATCATGATCCAGTGTGCTCTCCCCTCCCTTGAGGAGCGAACCGCCCAGATGGAGCACATCCTCCGTTCTTCCGTCATCGAGTCGCGATACGGTGAGACTGGTTGGGACCACCGAGAGCCTAGCCTTGATATCATTAAGGAGGTCGTTGACTCCAAGTACACCGTTTTCGATGTCTTGACCATGTTCTTCGCTCACGACGATCCTTGGGTGTCTCTGGCTTCTCTTGAGGTTTATGTTCGCCGAGCTTACCGTGCGTACATCCTCAAGCAGATCGAGTACCACCAGGATGAAAACGATGCGCCTCAGTTCGTTTCTTGGGACTTCCAGCTCCGAAAGCTCGGGCAGTCTGAGTTTGGTCTTCCTCTGCAGTCTGCTGCTCCTTCTACTCCTGCTACCCCTAGCGGAGGCGAGTTCAACTTTAAGCGAATCCACTCGATTAGTGATATGTCTTATCTTACTGGCAAGTGGGAGGACGAGCCTACACGAAAGGGTGTCATTGTTCCTTGCAAGTACATCGATGATGCTGAGGACCTCATTGCCAAGGCTCTTGAGGCTCTTGCCCTTGAGCAGAAGCAGAAGAAGAAGAACACCCCCGGCACTCCCGGTCTCATCCCCGACCTCAGCGGTAAGCGCAAGCCTGCCCAGCCCAAGCAGCACGAGGAAGAGCTCTCCGCTGTTATCAACGTCGCCATCCGCGATCTTGAGAGCCGTGATGACCGAGAGGCCCTCGAAGATATTCTCCCTATCGTTGAGCAGTTCAAGGATGAGCTCCTTGCCCGTGGTGTCCGCCGCCTGACATTCATCTGCGGCCACAGCGATGGTTCCTACCCCGGTTACTACACTTTCCGTGGACCCGAGTACAAGGAGGATGACAGTATTCGTCACAGCGAGCCTGCTCTTGCTTTTCAGCTTGAGCTTGCTCGTCTCAGCAAGTTCCACATCAAGCCTGTCTTCACTGAGAACAAGAGTATCCACGTTTACGAGGGTATTGGCAAGAACGTGGACACCGACAAGCGATACTTCACCCGTGCTGTCATCCGACCTGGTCGTCTCCGAGACGAGATCCCTACTGCTGAGTATCTCATCTCTGAGGCTGATCGCGTTGTCAACGATATCTTCGATGCTCTCGAAATTATTGGCAACAACAACTCTGATCTGAACCAGGTCTTCATCAACTTCTCTCCTGTGTTCCAGCTTCAGCCCAAGGAGGTCGAGGAGAGTCTCCAGGGCTTCCTTGACCGATTCGGTATCCGTGCTTGGAGACTCCGTATCGCCCAGGTCGAGATCCGCATCATCTGCACTGACCCTCAGACTGGCGAGCCTTACCCTCTTCGTGTTGTCATCACCAACACCTCCGGTTACGTTGTCGATGTCGACATGTACGCCGAGCGCAAGTCGGAGAAGGGTGAGTGGGTCTTCCACAGCATCGGCGGCACTCACGAGAAGGGTCCTATGCATCTGATGCCCGTTTCTACCCCCTATGCCACCAAGAACTGGCTCCAGCCCAAGCGTTACAAGGCTCATCTTATGGGAACTCAGTACGTTTACGATTTCCCTGAGCTCTTCCGACAGGCTATCCAGAACTCGTGGGTCAAGGCCGTCAAGGCTCAGCCTAGCCTGGCTTCCCAGCAGCCCAAGACCGGTGACTGCATCAGCTTCACTGAGCTTGTTCTCGATGACAAGGACAGCCTTGATGAGGTCAACCGTGAGCCTGGTACCAACACCTGTGGTATGGTCGGTTGGATCTTCAGAGCCCGCACCCCTGAATACCCCAACGGCCGTCGCTTCATCGTCATTGCCAACGATATCACCTACAAGATTGGTTCATTCGGTCCTAAGGAAGACGACTTCTTCCACAAGTGCACTGAGCTTGCTCGCAAGCTGGGTATCCCCCGTATCTACCTGTCTGCTAACTCTGGTGCTCGTCTTGGCCTTGCTGATGAGCTCATGGGCCACTTCAAGGTTGCTTGGAACAACCCCGAGAAGCAGGATTCTGGCTTCAAGTACCTCTACCTCGATGAGGAGACCAAGACTCGCTTCGAGAAGGACGTCATCACCGAGGAAGTCTCCGAGGATGGTGAGAAGCGACACAAGATCGTCACCATCGTTGGTAAGGAGGACGGTCTCGGTGTTGAGTGTCTGCGAGGCTCTGGTCTCATTGCTGGTGCCACCAGCCGCGCCTACAACGACATCTTCACTGTCACCCTTGTCACTTGCCGATCCGTTGGTATTGGCGCCTACCTCGTCCGTCTTGGCCAGCGTGCTGTCCAGATTGAGGGTCAGCCCATCATCTTGACTGGTGCCCCTGCCCTCAACAACCTGCTTGGTCGTGAGGTCTACACCTCTAACCTTCAGCTTGGTGGCACTCAGATCATGTACCGCAACGGTGTCTCTCACATGACCGCCAACGACGACTTCGCTGGTGTCTCCAAGATCGTCGAGTGGATGTCATTCGTCCCTGAGAAGCGCAACAGCCCTGTCCCTGTCAGCCCTAGTGTTGATGACTGGAACCGTGACATTACCTACTTCCCTCCCCAGAAACAGCCTTACGATGTCCGATGGATGATCAGTGGTCGCGAGGGCGAGAACGGCTTCGAGTCTGGTCTCTTTGATAAGGACTCTTTCGTTGAGGCTCTCGGCGGCTGGGCCAAGACTGTTGTTGTTGGTCGTGCTCGTCTCGGTGGTATCCCCATGGGTGTTATCGCTGTCGAGGTCCGCTCTGTGGAGAACATCACTCCTGCTGACCCTGCCAACCCCGACTCTATCGAGCAGGTTAGCAACGAGGCTGGTGGTGTCTGGTACCCCAACTCCGCCTTCAAGACTGCCCAGGCTATCAACGACTTCAACAATGGTGAGCAGCTTCCTCTCATGATCCTTGCCAACTGGCGTGGTTTCTCTGGTGGTCAGCGCGACATGTACAACGAGGTCCTCAAGTACGGTTCTTTCATCGTCGATGCCCTTGTCAAGTACGAGCAGCCCATCTTCATCTACATTCCTCCCTTTGGTGAGCTCCGTGGTGGATCTTGGGTCGTCGTCGATCCTACCATCAACTCCACTGCCATGGAGATGTACGCCGATACCGAGGCCCGTGGTGGTGTTCTTGAGCCTGAGGGTATCATTGGTATCAAGTACCGCAAGGACAAGCAGGTCCAGACCATGGCCCGCATGGATCCTACCTATGCTGGTCTCAAGAAGCAGCTCGAGGATTCTAGCCTGTCCACGGAGGAGACCGACGAGATTAAGAAGAAGATGGCCATCCGTGAGAAGCAGCTGCTGCCCGTGTACGCCCAGATTGCCGTGCAGTTCGCCGATCTCCACGACCGTGCTGGCCGCATGAAGGCCAAGGGTGTCATCCGTGACGTTCTTGAGTGGACCAACGCTCGACGCTTCTTCTACTGGCGTCTTCGCCGACGTCTCAACGAGGAGTACATCCTCCGCCGCATGACTTCTACCATCATCAGCACTTCGCACAGCCAGACTGCTACCAAGAACACGGAGACTCGTGACAGATACCTGCACCTTCTCCGCAGTTGGTCAGGCATTGTTGATTGGGAGAAGAACGACCAGGCGGTTACTGAGTGGTACGAGACTGAACGCAAGACCATCAGCGAGAAGGTCGAGACGCTCAAGTCTGAGGTGTTGGCAGCTGAGGTTGCCAGCGTTGTCCGTGGCCATGCTAAGGCTGGATGGACTGGTGTTCGTGAGGTGCTTAGAGTCATGCCCGTTGAGGAGCGGGAGCAGATTCTCAAGTACCTCCAGCAGTAAAGAGGAGAAGGACATATTGAGGAGGTTTTATGATATGGGAATCATTCCCTGTGTTTTTTTACTGGCGATTTATGCTATCATGGTTTTATGTCATGTCGTCAAGACAATTAGAAATGAAGGAGGTTAGACAGAGAACGGACTGTGTATGAGGCGTCAGGTACTGGAATATTTTCGATTTTAAATATCCATTTTATTACTTCAAGTTTGTGCTCCTACATGATACCATTAAGACTGCAGTGAATCATACTTACCCCGTCACCCGCGTTTATTCAAGATCATTCTTTGAAGTGTTTTGAGTGGAAGACTTTGACAGGGCAACCTCCCTTCAGTATACTCACCCACTGGTGAAGAGGAAATACCAATGGGAAGAGAGGTGGAAGCCTGGCAAGGCCAAACAATATTTGGTCAATACGTATACTGCCGGTCTGTTCACTGAAGATAGTACTTGAGGGCGATTCCAACCGTAGCCCCCGATACTGGTACTCCAGGCAGTATAATTAACATTTCCACATTCAGAAATCTCCGGTTGTAAATTAGGGAGCCTTGAGGGATTCCTGAGGCCTGGGATCTAATTCTCACAGCTCATTCGTGTGTATGCTTAAGGTGATCCTTTTGCTGTACATCGCCCAAAGCAATATCCACATGAGGATGTCACCAGGCGTCTGTGTTGGTGCATGATCTGGCACGCTGTCATTTTACGGCTTTATGAGACGACTACGTATGTATCTTGGAGGAAATCAATGGCGGATACTTGGGCATCGGTAAGTGGGAGATGGTCAACTGTCTGTGAGCCACTCTGGAGGGTCACTGACGTGTGTTGGAGGTGGAGTGACTGCTTCAACCAAAGAATAATTGTGGTCTAGAACGACATAGAGAAAAATGATTATATCTGGGGGATCATCTTGGGGGGATAGCCCCGGGATTGTCGTTGTGTATGTCAGTGTTGGCACCTTCACCAAAGCATGTGCCTAGTGTAAGTCGGCAGTTCGTGGAGTGAGCTAGCCTTCATGAAACCTTGGTAAGATTCGCATTTGAGTGCGTAATGATGGCTGTCCCGAAAACTGAAGCCTACGTCTGCGTAGTACGTAGATATTGAGAAGTCTTCTCCTCACTTGAGCAAGTCATGAAGGTCACTTGTAATGGGACAGTATTATGGGTCTTAATATGAGACTCTCTTGCGTCTTTGGCGGAGTGGCCGCCATCTCGTTTGGAAGCGTCAATCGAAACGAAGTCTATGAAACCAACTGATAAGAATTAATTATCCGATGTCATGCAAGTTGCCGTATGTACAAGACATAAATGCATGTCCAACCAACAAGATACTACGCAGCATGGCTGGGCATGTCAAACAAGCCTGACCATCAACTTATCAATTCTGGGGGGTTCTAAACCTCATGCCATGGTGTCAGCCACGTGGTGAGAGGGAAACGTCAAAGACTGGATCGGATAGATAAAGCTGGTGATACTGGCAGATTAGTATGTGAGTGAGTAGCAAGGGTTGATAGGCAGCCACATTGTTTCAATGGAGATCACATGACTAGATATCATCTCGGCGCGGATTATTAGAGTCCGATAGAGGACTGGCCAATAGGATACTTGCTGATCCTTCAGGCAGCAGCATTTCCGATTCTGAGACCCTTGGAAAATGACCGCAAATAGGCCGCGCCGCAAGATCCGCTTTGTGTAGGCAACGAAATAAACAGCTTCTTCTCAACAAAATGAAATGATTTGATCTGACCTACAATTCAAGATTTACCATTGTTTTCTCTTCTCTTCTCGCTGAGTACATGTGACTTTTGTTTGGCCCTTTTTAACTTACTTATTTACTGGCCAAGAACGCCAATGGCTGGGCCTCGCTAATTACACCACCTCCAAGACCAGTACCAAGGGCCCCGCTTCAGATCGCCATCAAGCATCACGATCAAGACATCACCCTCAGACTTGGCGACTGTTGTCATAAACAGGGCTTCATTTCCCATTCTAGGACTCACCTTCAACATATTCGCAGCAGCTCACCAAAATGGAGTCGTTTTTACCGCTGGGCGGCTTTCAGCTGCCCTTTCAGAAACGCCTCAGCAGACTGTACAACGATACTAAGAAGTCAACCGACTTTGTCAAAGAGCCAATTCAAAATGAGGAAGATCCAGAGATCAAGGCTCTACACCGGAAACTCCGCATTCAGAAAGATCGTCTAGTGAGTTGGGGTCTCGAATGGTCTGATCCCACTCAATCTGTTGAGATCGATGAGTCTCTATCAAAAGCTGGGTTGAGTGAGGTTGTTGGAAGTATCATGTCCACCATCAAGGACATCCTAGCAGAAGCTGAGCCTCTTTGGCTAAGCTCAAAGCGCATGATTTCAGCACCTGCTACGTCAAAAGATACGAAGCCGCCGCTGGTTCAATGGGATAAGAATCATTTTGAGGATTTGGTTAATGACCTTACTGCTTCAATTGATACACTCTACGATCTGTCGCGGACACGAGCAGCGGCTGGTGGAATCCCAAGAAGATCATCGAAGACACCGTTCAAGTCCATGGCGTCTACCGAGGAGTACAGACCATTCGAGTCCAGCCGCATGCAAACGCCTCAGCAAATTAACCCCCAGACGCTAACTCATCTGCGGCCTAAGCAGGGTAATGAGGCTTCTGCTCCCCGAGAGGTGGTCTTTATGAGCAAGACTGCTTATTCTGAACTAACACATGGGACGACTCGCCAACCGTGGGCACCTCTGCTTCTGGAATATGCAACCTTCGATTCAATTTATGCCGTGACGGGTATCATGCCTCCCATGGCTCGCTTTGAGAAACTATCCGCCGGCCTGCAACAAGATTCTCAGCGATCGCCTGGCACATGGACTGGACTACCTCGACTTCTCGGCTATTTCGAAGACCTAGAGAACTCGAGACTTGGCCTTGTCTACCGATTCCCTCCCTCATTCAACGCTGTCTCATTTGAGCGTCTCACTAAGAATCCTTCTTATAACCTCCCGACTCTGAATGATCTTCTCTCTGTTCCAGGATCAGAGCCTAAGCTTGAGGCCAAGTTCAGACTTGCTCACAATCTGATGAACACTGTTTTCGACCTGCATGCTCGCGGCATTACCCACGGAAACATTGCTCCAACCACTGTCTCATTCTGTGATGCAGTCACCTCGCAACCGGGTGCGACTAATGGCGAGGTGGATATTCGACGCCCTCTCCTTTCTTCTTTCGATCTCTTTCCCGAAGATACCCCTTCGACATCACCAATTCTTTCCCGCCATCCCCTCGACCCACGCAATGCCCAATCATCGCCTCTTGTCAATAATTCTGACCAGAGGGTTCTGGACCTGTATTCCTTATCCACTCTGTTGCTCTCAGTTGGCTTGTGGAAGAAACTGGAGGATATTGTCCCCGAGGCATCCGCTTCTATTCCTGACTCGGCCCTGGAAGAGCTTGCTGTCAGGTGCGGCAGCCTATATATGAAGGCCGTTCAAGTGTGCTGGACCGCAGTCGATGATGAGCTTGCCGGACGATCGTCTGGTGAATCATTGCTGTCGTCGGTGCAAGTTCGCTGCAGTCGCTTTTTAGAGGCCTGCTGTATCTTGGACGGTGTTAGTGGTCTGGAGGAGAGGCTCGACCAAGAGCTTAACCCCTCTGAGACGCCAGCCCCTACCGGTGACTCGACCTCTATGAAGATTAACAAGGATGTAAAGGATGTCAAGGACTTCAAGTCATCACTAAAAGCTGCAAGCGAGAAGCCAATCGCGGCATCAGCGCCTAACTTCGGAACAGAAAAAAGTGCTTCCAAGTTTGAGGCAGTCGCTGATCAAGATGGTATGTCCCATTGTTCTCATTCACATGATTACCTCAATGCTAACTTGCTCCCAGATGCCCTCGACAAGCAGTCAGAAACAAAGATGCGTTTATATCCCCATGTACCGCTAGCGCCAGAAGTCGTGGAGAAGTGGAATAAGAATCTTATGCCCCAGATCAACCACGCTCTTCGTCACTTTTACCGCAAGCACCCCGAGTCGGTCGAGATCTCTCTTGAGTCAGTAGGCCCGAGCCCTCAGAAGACCCAACCCACAGTACTTGTTGTGTGTACATCTGTTGGAAAAGTCCGGGCTATTCTTAAGAAGAGGCTTGGTGACCTCTTCGATGGAAGCAACGGTTTCGGACTCAAAGTCTGCCGGGGGCATGTGTTAAGATCTCGCCGACAGCCAAACTCCGTTCTGAGATCCATGGCTCGAAGGAGTGCTAAGGGTACTGGACTAGAATCGGACGATCTTGAAGCTATCAACCCAGAGTATCAAGAACGCCCGGGTAATGGTGCCAGTATTGGAGCCTGGATTGGAGATCGGCATCTGCCCCCTGTTAGCCTCGGAGGCCTCGTCATGGTTGACGACAAGCCTTACGGAATGACAGTCCACCATATGTTAGACGACCCAGATCGTGACTTTGGGCCCAGTGACACCCTCAGGTGCAGTGCTCTACCTGACATGGACTGGTACGCGCAATCTGGTGACGACAGCACTGTCGATGACGAATTTGGTTACGAGCTCTCTGATACCGAATCCGAGGCCTACTCGGATTCCGATATCACCAGTGACTATGAGGACGATGAGGATGAAGATGAAGACGAGGAGTATAACGAGCCTGGAGATATTCCTGGCATCGAACCAGGATGTGGTGATGGTTACATCGTCACACAGCCGGCTCTCGATGACGTAGAAGAAGGCTTCTACCCTGACCCAGAGACTCAAGACGAGGATCACCTCGACACTTACAGCGTCGGCGAGGTGTATGCTTCAAGCGGCATCCGCAGGAAGCAGGCCCTTGGACTCGTGCATGAGGTTGACTGGGCTCTCTTCGAATTCGCTCACGATAGGCTGCCTGACGACAACACCATTCCTCGCATTGATGACAAGTCGCCTGCTCACAAGGTCGATGGAAAGCAAACAGCTGGGTCGCCTATGTTGCGGCCAACAACTGTTGCCCCTTTAGACTCCTTGCCAAACATGGATGTGCAGTGCATGGCTCGAACAAGTGGTTTGCAGACTGGCAAGATTCTCCCTGCTCTGACGAGTGTGAAGATCTACGGCCGTGTCTCACCAAGCCATGCCTATCAAATCACCAGCGCGGACACATCAGAACAGGGATCTCAGAGCAAGAATGTCCCTCTGGGTATCCCTGGTGACAGTGGTGCTTGGATCGTCAGCCGTGACGAGGGTCAGCTTTGCGGACACGTTCTTGCATGGAGTCAGCGCAAGCGTGTTGCGTACATCTGCCCCATGGACGTCCTCCTCTGGGACATCGCAGAAACTCTGGAGGCTCACGAAGTAAAGCTTCCGGGAGGACAGGCCGTGGTGACCCTCAACAGGTCGGAGACTCACACCGCCTCTAAGAAGCAAGAGGCATCTAATCTCGAGCTTCATGACGAAGATGACTTATCGGACTTGGTTGAAGAGGAGGAAGATCTGCCCCCTCAACTAGTCACGTCACCTGACCTAGTCAGAGACACCCCCAGCATGAGAAAGTCACCCGTCTCCAACTGCAGCGGCGTCAGCGATCGGAGCTCCTCAAGCCCCATCCGCCTGGACACATCAAGTGACCTGAGTGGTATCTCTAATCGATTTGAAGAGATGAGTATGAGCGGTAGTTTTGGGATAGGCGTTAGCGGTTGACAACGACAGTAGTCGTATGTTTTTTTCCTTTGTTCGGCAAGGAAAGTTTGTCTAAAAAATACCCTGTTAGCGTTGGAATATGATGAGAATGAAGATAAGTAGTCCAGAAATGGATTTCATAGTTGCATAAAATTGCAAGAATATGCATTGTATCATGCTGCTCTGATATTGTCTCTCTCCTTTTACATAAAGTCGTCCTCCCAGTTCTCATCGCGGTCCTGGTTACTCGAACCAGCCATGTTCTCCTCTGTGAAGATATCATCGTAGGCATGGTCCTTCTGCCACTTCTTCTCCTTCCACTCCTGAGCCTGCCGAGCCTCCTCCTTCTTCTACAAGGGCATCAGTAATCTCGGCTCAGTATTCACGGAGGTTCTCGCTTACCCTGGCTTGGAAAGCTGCCTGGTCACGACGTCGCAGTTCCTTGAGGCGATCATCTCTCTCCTGCTTAAAGTCTGGCTTCTTCTCAACCTTCGTCTTGTTAAGACGGTTGACGATGGGGTTCTCGCGCTGGGGAACCAGGACGCGCTTTACTTTGCGGGGGTCCTTGAAGCCGACTTGGCCGACCTCCATGCTGCCGTCTTTCTTGAGGTTGGACCATGGTGTGTAGATGACTGTGACGTTGTCTTTCTTGTTGCCTTGGGTGGGATGTCAGACATGCCGTGGGAGGGGATTAAAGGGAGGAAATGTACCCTCGATGGAATTGGCCTTTGTCAGTTGGGCGAGGTCCATGACGAGTTCTTCAGGGAGGGCGTCCCATGCCTGGCCTTCTTGCATGCGTAGGTAGATATGCGCGCTGGAGAGTTTATCCGCGTGGAACTACATAGACCCAATGTTGTCAGTTTGCTCTATTCTCACTGAGATTTGGTTGGTCATCTCACCCTATATGTTACTTAGCACAAGCCCACTCATTTAATGGAGCACCCTACCAGATATCCTCTTCCCAGCCGAACTTGATCAGGTCCTCATCTAGCATCAAGTCTCAGCCGGTGGGGAACAGCGCGTTATGATTGTCATTGGGCATAAGCATACTCTCGAACTTGTCCTTGCCGACATAGATGAATCCTGGAGGATCGACCACGTTGGAGGTGAAATAATAGACCATCTTGGATTTTCCACTGGAAGAGAAGGAGATCGGGGATAAAAGAAATGGATAGACAGGCTGAACGGGTCACCGTTAGTGATCTTGTGGTGAGCTGCGTGTTCTGATGAGGGGATCTTGGAGAAATTTCCGTTTGGTGGGGGTACTTGTGTGCTAACAGAAATGGTTATGGGTGCTCGCTGAAACCCCCTAGAACAAGAGGTGATCAGCCCTACAGGATAACACCAAAGTACCTCCCATTCCTGCCAAGGTGGGATCCAGAGTTTGATTCACGTGACATCGCGACGATATCGTGAAAGGGTCTTTCATGTAATTTTCCACGCACCTGTAACCAAGAGCTCCTTTATCCATTCGACTGCCATACTCTTTCTGGAGTCACCATCCGAAATACCCAGTTATTATGATGGCCTTTTCAACGTTAGACAGCCACTAATGCAAAACAAGTATTGACCAAGGTTGTCTCACGACTCAGATCAAGGCTAACAAACTGATCATCTGAATCATGTTTTACTGTCTCGGCTGGCATAAAGGCTAGATCAAGCACTGGAATGAGATATGTGTCGATTTTCCCAATACCACAAACTGTCGGGTCGGTACAGCCCACATGGTCCAAAAGAATTAAGGTGATGATATCCACTTATCCCTCCTCGTAAACAGCCCAATGACCAGACAATTTAATTATGACGAGGCAAGCTTTCGGCTATTGCAACAGGCTGCCGCTGTCAAGTATCCCCCCCTGTTTGTTCATCCCGCAGAGCCCCAAAACCAGGACCCCATTCCCAATGTCACACGACAGTACCGGTATGTGAAGTGAGGCGTCATGAGCTTGTCTATTCAGCTGAGAGCCCTTGTGTCTTGATCAGCTTAGAATCCAAGATCTTGTCAAAGGCCCCCATTCACGATGATCGGTGACTTCTCAGTCGCTAGTCACTGTTTGTTTGTGTAACACATCACGACAGCCGTGTATGGAGACAAAAGCAACGATGGTAGCTCAAAACCGGCTGTCTCAGCCTCTCATTTCCTTGAGGTAACCACTGTCTTATCAACCTGTGCCAAGTTCCACCGTCCCTGTTGTGCCGTCACGCCGGTTGGGCGATCTTCGGTAAGTATTAGTGATATTGTAATCTCTGTCCCTTGTAATCGAATTGGTTCTGTCTCACCATGATTCTTGCTGAGTGTTGGTCACTTATATTGCTTTTTCTTCTCTCATGTTCGATCGACGTTGACATGCTCCGCTCCACCTCTGATCAGACCTCAAATATCGGAACGGGGTCCCCAGATTTAGTCCGATCTCGTATCTCGTATCTCGGACTCGAGGAGTTATGTAAGAGTAAACTTAGTACAATGCCTTGTAAGTTGACAGTCACTCTATCCACTGGGAGTCGCCGAGACATTCCGGGTATCGTTATGGGGGATGGCGATACTGCACAAATGGCCAGATCCTTGCATGACGCACAAGGGTAAAGGTGCAAGCAACGAGGCCAATGACTGGCTTATAGGCAGGGGCTTCGGGCATATCTCCATCCACAAGGCTGCCAAGCCAAGACCGGAGAGTGCAGTCCTCATGTATGTATGCCAACCCTAGCATATAATGAGCAAGATAAGTGAGGTTGTACTCTCTTGGAGTTTCCTCTCTGGGCCTCGAGGTGTCAAACATCAGTGGTTGGTAGTCGAAATATTCATAGACGGTAAACAAGGTCCAAGCTTCTACCGACCTTGGCAAACTTGTCAGGCCTGAACTGCGTCGGAGGTCTCCCCTCATCACATCCGGGAGGCACAGGGCTGGACGCTTCATACTGACAGCATGTTCTTCTCCTGGGCCTCAAGGGGTGGCCCTGTTGGCGGGAATACAGGTAGATGCAGGCTTCTTCCGGATCAAGTTAATTTATGCCCATCCCTGTCAAGGTCAGTGACGTTGCTTGTTGGGCCCCTTGGCATATGCAGGGCGATGTAAAGCCACTACGCACTGTAATTGCAGCCTGAATGTCGGCACGGTCAACCAGCTCATGCGTAGCGTCTTCCTCGCTGGCCGAAACACAAGAAATCATGCTGATAACGTTTTCCGTCTGTCCTTGGCATCGGGGTCTAAGTCGGTCCCGAGGATCTATTCCGAGCTTTGGGGATTGGTGTTTCTATTTCAGCCACTTTTCCATCAGCTAGCATTAGCGTTCCACAATGGCCTGTGGCGTCATGACCGTTGCTTTTTTGGAATGCGTCCCCTACAGTAGCGTAGTTTGAACTTTGCTGTGGAGAATGGCCAGGCTAATGGCCCCCCCTGACTCAAAACTTCCGAACAACATCAGTCATTCCGTTCCGCAAAGGTGACAATATCAGGGCACTCTTGTAAACCTTCAAAAGCTAGATTACGCACGCTCATCTGCAGCCCGGAGCTCTTCAGCCGCCGAGGTTCCATCGAGCTTCTAAGCGAGACGTAGTGTATCCCAGCGGGTAGGGTCCGAGCTATTATGATTTTTGAAATTTCCGCGGAGGGCGTAAACACACAACAACTGATGAGTCAGTTCCGCTGGCCCTTTAAGACCAAGATATATATAATACATGTGAAATCTCCCCGACTGACCACCGTGGATGTCGTGTCGCAGTTCCTCAAAACCTCGTTGTTACCTGTCATGCAGACTCATGCTTAATCCTCGACACCGCCGATAGAATTCTGATTCTGCCTGATAGCCTCTGCGAGATACCTATGAGCAGTCTTGCAGTTTTCGTTGTTATGTTTGTCATTATGCTTTGAATATTTTGCGTCTTGGTGTTTTGCGAGGTTGGTATTATGATTAATGGATATAGACTCCAGCGGCCTGGAGAGCTCGGATGATGCTGCGCTCAACGGAACCTAAGCACCAGAAGGTTAGCTGGATACGTTTACTTTTCTTGGATATGGAGCGACTTACCAACACTTACAGCCGGCACTGCTTCGTTAACGACGGTGACACGACTGCTCTTGGCGTGCTCTTGAAAATCATAGCCGTCTGTGTTGTCGTAGGCAACCTTGTAAACGTCGACTCTTATCTTGTAAGCGCCTTCAACTAGAATAGCAAGGTCTGTGTACGGGAAATGGATTGTTGTTCTTGAAGCTCCAGCTGTGGTTACATCGACGCCGTTCACCGAAGTGGTCCCCGACAAGCCTCCCTCAACAATATTCCCTTCTCTCGTAAGTAAGAAAGCCATGGCGAAGAAATAGTGGCCAGGTACAGCCCCTCTGAAGTTTAGCTCTGCAACGAGAGGTGGATGCAGGGTGGTCGAGACCTGGGCTCGAGCAGGAGGTTGAACAACAATGCTAAAGGCTGTCATATTGTTTTTGGTTCCAAAGTATTGAATGATTTTCTTGATGTATTCTTATACATGGCACTAGTATGCCGCCTCAAAACTGACCCAAGAGAGGTTTTATAACATATCTGGGTAATACAGTGTCGTATATGGCCATCAAATAACCCTATCAGAGACGTTCTTCCGATGTTTCAATGCCAAAGATAGCCCAACAGCCTGATTGTCAGAGGGAGCTTCCGCGTCAGGGATGGTGATGATGATGATGATGATGATGATGATGAATGAGTGGGATCACGATACTTGAATGGCGAACAGAGTATCACTGCTCCTTTCTCTCGCCTGTCGTTGTATGCTCATATATGGCGGAAGAGACGCCGACTGGCAGAATATGTCCGACAGATGCAAGTACAGGCTTGTATCGGGAAGAGGCCGTCAGATCAATGCTTTATTCTCTCGGGGGATGTTGGAGGCAAGGTAAGGTATAAAGGGCAAAGAGGGTTGGTTGATGGGATATGATGCGGTATTGGAAGCAAGGCAACAACAGGCGAGGCAAATGAAAATGAGGCAATAGTCAGCCAGCCACAGACAGACAGGTGTGAGTGTGACTCGTGAATATCGCTGATGGGGTAGGTACAGAGTACAATACAATAAAATGTTCGAGGCCGGCAGTTTTCGATAAGTAAAGTAAAGTAAAGTGAACATGCAGGCAGATTGTCACCGACGCAGCAGGACTCGATGTCTGATCCCTGCACTTGACCTCACCTCATTTAAGGATCCCTGCGGGCATATCATATCTAAGTGCAAGGCGCAGGGTACTATAAGGGTGGACTTAGGTTGGCATAAAATGGCGGCGTCAAGCACAAACAAGGGGACTTTGCATTTGTGCCTAGCTCCAACGGCGCCTGGGGAGTTGTTAAAACAACGTCAGCCCAATTTGTCGGGTTTACAACCAAGCCAAGCTGACAACCGAGCGAGCGAGAGGAAGATGCAGGGTATCGCTGGCGTAGAATCTTGCGGCAAACGGCACTACCTTAGCCTTGGCATGTTTACGCGGGCGAGCTACGTCGTAGTTACAGAGCTGTGACGAAATTGTGACCGTTGGCATTTACTGTACCCAAGCTCGGAGCCTCAAGAGACTGAACTCTATAGCCGTGGCTGAGGGCAGATCTCGCCAACTAGACCCAACACCGTGGGATGAAGGATAGATCGGCTCTAATCAGTAATCATGTCAAAACAGAGCGGTCTTTATTTCTTGTCCTTTTTCTTTTTTCTTTTATTCTTGCTCTTGGCGCGAATTGGAGTGGGTCGAGATCTTAGACATGCACCTGATGCTATGGTACCGACATACGATACGGCACTTCATCCTAGGGTCCAGTTGACAGTTTCTAGCCACGTGCCTAGTTCCCACAGGACAAGGAAACCAGGAAAAGGCTGAAACATGTTTGGCTCGATGCTGAGAAGGGTCTTCGATTTCCCAGATCAAAGACTTGCGGTTGGTGGCTATGATGTCTGCCCATATCTTGATACCATGACAGATACCGGCTGTATCTAATGCCGAGGTTACAAAAAGCAACGATAGCCTCACCTGAGCTTCAAGCGTACGAGCGGCAACCTCTGTCTCGAACTCTGCATGTACTCGGACCAAAAACAGGTCGAAGAGAGAAGAGAAGGCTACGCTACCACAAGAGGCTGAATCGTGAGGCTTCACTTACAGTGAACGAGCGGCCGACCGGACCTGCACTTCGGTCTAGCGGTAGTTCACTTTGCCAAGCCCCAAAAAGGCCGATAAAGCATCAACAAAGCATATACAGTAGTCTTGAACGCCGCCGACCTCAAAGACGAAGATGATGACACTGCATAAATGCGTTTCGGGGTTCTGGCTCAGGGGCAAACATCGAGCTATGACCAGGATCTACAGCACCATTAGCGTCAAAGTTTGTCCACGGGGAATTTCCATGGTTGGTGAGACAACGATCTTCACCAAAGGACGCAGAGCAGGGGGCATCCCTGACACTTTTTCTTCGGGGCCTTAGCTCTGTCATGTCCCCACTGGAACATTACATTTCATGTTTGTTCGGTCATATGTACAGTTGCCTGCCATTGCGGCTCCGGTGTTGCAATTCTTGGACTAGCCCAGGCAAACAAGATACTCAGCGAGATCCGGAAGACTAGCCAACGTAACACAAGCAAGACCAGCCACCAAATTACGCCACTTCGATGTTAGTGTCCTGCAGGCCAGGGAGCTAGTTTGCTGACGTCGGTGAGACGCACTTTGTTTGGTCCAATGATAGACGCTGACTTAGTTGCGCAAGACACGCAATTTCTTGCGAGGATATGCTCTCAACCGCCCCAGATTTGACTCGTTCCCAGTTCTCTCTGGCTCTGAGCGCGCCCGTGCAGTAGCGCGAGGGAGATGTTTTACGGATGGATTTGCCCGAAACAAGACTGGACAGGAATGCACTGCGAAAGAAACACCACCAGTAGCAATTGATGCTATGCCCAAAAACGGCTTGTTTGCTCCAAGCAAGTTACGACTAAATTGGTTGGGCATAGAAGAGGCGGGCGGAACTGGATGATACTGCCATACCTTTAAAAAGTGAAGCGTGCATGACCAACTATCGTGTCCATCAGCCTTGTCAAACTGCTGGTTTGTCTTGACGGCTGGTGTACCCGGTTGTTGAAGAAATTACTCGAGTCGAAAGGTCCAAGCGAGTCACTGAATAACCCACGAATCACAAGCTGCATACGATTTAGGCATGGTCTACGACTCTGTCGGTACGATAGAAGACGCATTTGGGTGTTGTCGAGTGCTTTGGTGTTGTTGAAATGGAGCTTGCTGCTTGATATTCGACAAGGGTCTCTCGTTAGCCCTGTGCTTGTGGGCTGCGTTAGTGTGGACTAAGCTGAGCTGATTTGCATCCGGAGCATAAATTTACTGGGGACTCGATCAAGGGTTCATTACCTATTTAGTCCGTTCGGTATTAGCAGCATTCATCATCACCAAGTTTGGTGATGTGTTGGTCGTTGTCGATTTTGTTCTCAGGTCTTTACTATAACCATCCTGGGCTATAGTATCATGTTCGGCAGCTCTTTTCATTACGTAGCCCTTCATCTGTCTCCGCTTTGGGGCATTATACCTATGGTAGCCTTCAGATATGATGAGTCAAGGAACCGCTCGGGGAGCCGGAGTGACATATTCTACCTTTAATGGTGATAGTGCTGCTGCAAGCTCCTGCAATTTAAGACGTTACTAAGGTGATTTGCAAGGAACATTATGCATGATATCTTTCTCAGAATGCAGCATTGACATTTTCTACCTGGTCTTGTTCTTCTAGAATTTGCGGGTCGTCTTTTCTCACAAATACCTCCACAATCATCCATGTTATAGAGTTGTGAACCCTGGCTCGCTTGGACTCTTGACAGCTCGGATCTTCTGATCTTTTGATCATTGTTATCCGAGCATCGCAACCTTCGGGTGTACGTACTTACGCGGGTTGTCACTGCAAATCCCCGCCTGTCAATGTTTTGAAAGTCTCAATCTCCATGTCTTCCAGCGTTGCATCGCGTGGACATGGCCTTTGAGGAGAGCGATCGATATTGGTACCCAATAATGAGCTGATGGCTTCCTGCCTCACGTATTCCCTGCCCAGGAAAACCATCTCCGCGCTTTCCATGTCTCCGTCACTAGGTACCTTAGGTATTGAGGTGCTTGGCCCTCCATATTCCTTGTCTTTGCCTTATTCAGCATCTTAGGCAGACATTGGATCCAATCACTTTTTCTCTCCTGCAACCAACCTCGAGCAAACTGCAGCAAACAGCACACACAGGTGCAGCCTCTATGCACGAGCATACACCTTGACTCATGACATTCACACAAGTATCTCGTTGCACGACTCATCGAAACGCGCGCAAGGGGCGCTAGGTCTTCATCAAGGATATTGCCTTGTTCGCAGAATATGTATGCTAGGTGCTGGATGTTTGCCCAGCGCACTTCCGACGGACCAATTCCTATTGGATCTTCATATCTGTGCTGCCCGCGATATACCCGAATTGAGACATTTGGGACAAAAGACCGATACCACGATGTCTATCATATTCGTCGATGACGATCTGATAGCAAATTCGCCGCGGTTTATTCAAACGACGCCTATGCGAAACTACTATTGGCCTTCCTCCTTTGTCAATTTGGCCGCCTCTTGCTTCACATCTTTGCTTTCGTGCGCTCACAAATCACAGCAGGGTACATTTGTCTTTGCCATCGATACACCTCCGAGCATGATCCATCATCCAACATCCACCGACCAGTCAAGCCCACCAGCGGTAACCCATCGCTGCACCGACCTGCCTATGAGATTTGTTGCTGCGAAAGCTCATAAGACATGAGATGGCAGCGCCATATCGATCCTGGCGATCCCAGATATCCGGGTTTCAAATTCACGCCATACCAGGAACTGTCTGCGTCACTTGCATTTATGGCAACTATATTTGATATGGAACTGATCAGCAGTCTAGGACATCTCACCTGAGAAACGAAAAATTGATTTTCATGCGAGATCGTAGTGTTATATGACACTGAAGGTATCTGTCGTGTCTGGCTCCGTACCGCTGAATCGACGATCCGTGATTCGATACATCGATAAGCCGCAACGATACCTCTCATCTCACTGGCCATTTGAAAATCAGAGGCGCTGTTAGCCCATGTACGTACTGTTTGCGGGGAGTTGAGAGGCCTCTGCTTGGTTAATGCCGATGAACCGGATATATGGACATGTTTAATTCAACCTGACCCGCCGATGGTAGCTCACCCACACACCGGCCAGCCAAGATATGCTTTTTATCAACTACAATCTACAGTCCACGTTTTTGATATGTTCGGTGTGGGATTGGAAGAGATCTGTTGGCCCGGAACAAACCGCTCAGTTTCAAAACGTAATGATCGGCGTTCATAAATCTTGCGCAGTCCACATTTCACGACGTGCCGACTTTGACTGACCAAACCACCACTTGCCGTTGATTCACAACAGCAGCCTGAATTGGAGATTCGACGCTTTTTTGGGGGTCGAAGTTTCTCTGGAGAGTTAGTCTCTCCACAGGAAGCAGGCATCTTCCTGGTTGCAGAGCCAATGGTACCATGGGGTAACATTCAGTGCTTATTCTGTGCCTCGGTCAAGGCGGCCACGGCACTGGAGATGTTTGATTTGTGAAAGCCGACGACACCGAGCAGTTTCCTTCTCTTAATGCTGAGAGACGGCCTATTCCTGCGAAATTCTATATCAAAGGTTCCTAAGTCTACTTTAAAATTTGTTGCGTCTCAGAGCATCCTTGACTTTCTGATTAGGCTGTTGGAAAAGTGGTTGGGTCGACGAAAACAGGTGGACCAGACTGAGACAGCAACAATCTTGTGTGACGACAGATCAATTGGCGAGTCGCGCTCTGGTGGCATACAAGATGCCTACTAAGCTGGTAAGTAATTTTCAATATCTTCATTTGATGGCACTTCCAAATAAAGATGAACTGAAATAATCGAAACCCACGGCATAAGCACCGTTTAGCCGTTATGAACGTTATAGAACCTTTTTTGATTCAAGACGTCGCAGAAATCGGCTTACCCTGCACTACAGCTCGATGGCAACATCGAGCACGTGACCATACTGTAAGATGACATCTCCACGACTACCGAAATAGGAAAGTCGGCCATTTGCGTAAGATCCATAAAAACTGTCGCCAACATGTTGCACTCAATCTCACTCTCTCAGAATTGCGATCACATCAGGTTCCGAGTGCGCCAAGACCCTCCAACGTGTGCGTGCAGAGAAGGCATCGTCATCAACTTCAATGCGCCTTGATCCTTGTTCTTTGTCGCAGAGATATCACCCTCCGTCCAGCTCAATCGCGAGCTCGCCTGAGATATAAGCACACCCAGACGCCCCCCATTGCACGACACAATGACGGCAGAATCATCCAAATCTCAAAGTCCTGCCTCTGCCTCTGCCTCGCGCGATGACTGGGATGTCTCTGAAGCTGGACCGTTGCTTGCGCGTTTCGTTGGCGGGGGTCAACTTGCCCCAGATGCCGACACCGAAGCCTCAACTCTGATCGGCACCGCGTCGCCAGCCGACTATGGAGCTGTAACTTCCTCTGGTGATGGCACGGCAGAGGAAGCGGGTGTCGCGAAGCCGGAGGGCACACCGCTGCCCAAACTCCAGGTCTTGCTGCTCTGCTACGCGCGTGTGATGGAGCCGATTGCCTTCTTCTCCATCTTTCCCTTCATTGCGCAGATGGTCCAGGAGAATGGCAATCTACCCAAGAGTGATGTTGGTTTTTACAGCGGCCTTATCGAGTCACTTTTCTCGGCTACCCAGATGACGGTGCTTCTCAGCTGGAGTCGGCTCGCTGATCGTATTGGTCGGAAGCCTGTTCTTCTCATCACGCTTTTTGGCACGGCTGTTGGGCCTGTGTTATTTGGCATGTCCAAGACGATCTGGCAGATGATCCTGTTCCGATGTATAGCGGGTCTGTTTTCTGGCTCTGGCCTCGTCATCAGGACTATGCTCTCTGAACTCAGCACCCCTGAGACACAGGCCAAGGCCTTCAGCTGGTTCGCATTTGGTGGAAACATAGGAATCTTCTTGGGCCCTATAATCGGCGGCGCCCTTGCAGACCCAGCTCATCAATTTCCACGAGCGTTTGGAAATGTCCAGTTCTTCATCGACTATCCCTACGCGCTGCAAGGTGTTGTTGTTGGACTGATCAGCTCTACAAGCTGCATTACAACCGCTTTCCTTCTCAAAGAGACACTTCATGAGCCGAAAAAGGCTCGCCATGAAGAGAATGGCCAGCCTCGAATGTCAACTTGGGAACTCGTCAAGTCTCGCCAAGTGGCCCTCGTTCTTTGGGCTTACAGCCATGCCATGTTCCTCGCCTTCGTGTTCACGGCCATTCTTCCTGTCGTTCTTTACACCCCTATTGAGCTTGGAGGCACAGGCTTCAACGCATTCCAGATCTCCATTTACATGGCCATCCAAGGTGCCAGCCAAGCCATCTGGTTGCTCATCGCCTTCCCCATACTGCACCGACGTCTTGGTACGCGCGGTGTCATGAAAATCTGTGGATATGCATACCCCTGGTTCTTCGTTGGATTCATCATTCTGAACACGCTTCTACGTGCAGACACGCACGCTACGACGGTCATTTTCTGGATCTTGGGCGCAGTGGTCACTATCGTTGGACCTGGCGTCTCCATGGCATTTACAGGCGTGCAGCTAGCTCTCAACGACGTTGCGCCAGATCCTCATTTCTTGGGCACGCTGAATGCTCTGGCCCTGAGTCTTGCAAGTGGTATAAGAGCCATTGTGCCAGGTGCCGCAACGGCCATTTATGCCGTGGGTGTTCGTGGGCAGATCTTCTGGGGTCATTTCGCGTGGGTGATAATGATTCCTTGTGCTGTGGGTTTTACTGTGGCTTGTCAGTACATACCCGAGGGAAAGAAGTCTTCAAAGGATGATAATGAAGACGACGAGAACGAATCGTGAGAGGAAGATGGTTCATTGGGGAATGTCTAAGGATTGACTGTACACACGAAGCATAGCGATTGAGATTTATCGTTGGTGAAAGTGTTAATCTATTGATGCGTTGTCTTTGTCTTGAAGCGTTTGCATATGGTAGATGCTCTGGAAATATCTCTATTGTATAGGGCATTTAGCATGGACTCAGAAGATAGCATAAATGGATAGATAACTGGACAAGTTGGCATCCATGTTCATAGGGATTTCGGCATCATCTTGAGCATTGTTGATAGATTCATAAACCACGACATGGCCGACCTCACTGGCTGAGATGATGAGCTCAGATAAGCTGAATCCATTCTGAATCTATTCGTGTGTAGCGATGCTTGCAGCTACATCTAAGTTCTATTCTATCCTTAATTATCCAGATAATTAACCAGTACCTATTTGCCCATGACCATTCCTAAACCCTATTACATCTCTGATGCTTTTGTACACGAAATCGAAACAAATACCCTCATAATGCCTTTGCAAGCATAGAAGCAACTCTTACTTTTCATATCGAATCGTAAAAACAGGCGAATACGCCTCATCCCAATCCTCCTTTTTATTCTCATTACCAAATATTCTCAGCGCTCTATATCTCACAACATACTGTCCCGCCGGCGCAAAGGTGCCATCTGCAAGTTCACCAGTGAAAGCTTGCGAGTTAGCACCCATTGCGTTCCACAGCAGGGGAAAGTCAACCGGCTCTCCGATAACGCGTGGCTTTTTGGAAGATGTTGGTTTCTCGGTTGTTACCGGCATGATTTCAGCGTGAAGCTTTGCTGAGCCTAGAGCGAGGAACCATGTAAGGCCGGGCAGTGTGTCGGTGAGGTTGTTTGCTGTGCCGGGCTTGGGGAGTGTCCACGTTGTGTTGTCCGGCATGGGGAAGCGATTCTCGTCGGTTGAGTTCGCGATCCATGTATCTTTAGGTCCGAGGACCATTGAATCGTGGAGAGAGCCTGTTAGACCTTGGTATGGAAGTGATAGAGATGTTCCGTCGGTGCCGTTGATAGTTACATAACCCGACCAAACAGGCAAACGCGTTGCGTTAAGACCCTTGGGAGGCGTAGCCAGCACCTCGATGACGATGCTTTCGCCAGCATCAATAGTGACTTTCGACTCGCTGAACTTGAGGCTAGCATGCTCTTTGGCGAAGTCATTAGGAAATTCATCCGGATAAATGTAATTCTCGACAAGCGTAAACATCGTAACAGCCGGGACGTGAGAAATCTGCAAATCGATCTGTTTCTTGCCCGTGTTCTTAACCGTAAAGTTCAACGACTCAACAAAATGATCCGTGTCGTTGAACGAAAGACTTGATCGCGATAAAAGGACTTTTGCGTGGGCGGCATCGTGAGCCTGCACGATACCGCCGCCCTGCTGCGGAACAGGTGCGAGAAAGTCATAAAATGTTTCCCCATCGTTGAATAGTTGCGGGTTTGCGCTGGCTGAGAGGAGGTTCTCGATGAGTGCTGGATCGCGTGTGCCCCTGGCTTCTGCAATGAGAGCGACGATGCCAGCGACGAGGGGTGAAGCCATGGAAGTACCTGATAACACGGCGTAACTTCCCATGCTTCGGGGGTACGTTGAGAGGATTTTACCGCCTGGGGCTCCGAATTGAGGCTTCACGTCCATTTCCCATGTTGGACCCCACGAGGAAAAGGTACTGGCTGCACCAGCTGTAATGTTGTTGTGCTTCTGCTCAAGAATAACGTTGCCGTCACTTCCGTCTGACATGCTCAGGGTGATCTTCTTCTTTGCTTTCAGGGAAGCGATCCATTCTGCGCCTTGTTCGGGAGACACGATGCTTGCTGCCTTGATACCCCCGACAGAAGAGACGTCGAAAGGTGCGAGATCCTCCTTGTTGCTGTAGAACATGATGTACTTTGCACCAGCTTTGACTGCATTGGCAGCTTTGGCATCGAAAGTACAAGAACCTCGTCGGAGAAGAACGATATAATTGCCGAGATCAGGTGTGTTCTTAGGCCACTCATCACAGCCATCATCAGCGACCGACGTGTCGTAGTTGAGTGCCCATAGTGGCAGCTTCACGCCCTTCCAGGCACTTGGCTTACCACTCAAGTATCCAAACTCATGCTCAGGACCTCCATCGATGCTGTATTTCGACGCATTCAGGAGCGCGAGAGACTTGGTGTTGTCAAACGACCCAACAGCAGTAACTTTCTTCCCATTCGCAGCCGTACTCGCATAAAACATTCCCGTAGCCCCTGCATTCCCCGCCGCAAGAACACAAGGAACGCCCTGTTCGACGATTCTCGAAACAGCCACCGCCCACGGTTCTTCGGACCAGCCCGACGGACCGCCGATAGAAGCTGAAATAATATCTGCACCGTCTTCAAACGCCTGGTTGAACGCTGCGATGAGGACATCGTTTCCAGCTTCGCCGTTACAGCCAAACGCACGGTAGGCTCCTATTTGCACACCGGGTGCGGCGCCGGTGAAACCCATTGTGTTCTTCTGGGCGGCAAGAATACCGGCGACGTGGGTGCCGTGACCGGCGCAGTCCATGGGGTCGTTGTCGGGCTTGGCGTGGTTGGAGCCGTCGTATGCGTCGCCTACGAGATCAGTGCCGAAGGAGACAAGACAGTTTTTGCCGAAGCAGCCTCCAAGGGCTGGATGTTTATAGTCGATCTGCATGATTGTTAGTTCTGGGTATCAGGGGGAGTGTGAAGATGACTTACACCACTGTCGACGAGGGCAACCTTGAGACCCTTGCCCGTGACACCCTCTGCCCTCAACTTATCAATCTGCGTCATGACATGCGGCGAAAACGTATCATTCACAGCATCCCTCTCTTCAAAGCCTCGTTTTTGGATAGACTTGTACTCCATTCCCGGTGTGCCCGTCCAGTGAACCTCTGGCTTGGGAATGCTGAATGTCTGGACAGGCCATTTTTGCTTGATGCCAGGCAATAATGCCATCTCGGAAGCTAGGTCTTCAGCATTGTCGATATCGGTGAATTGGATCGAAGCTCCTTTGAACAGCTTGTAGTTGTACTGCATACGAGTCTTGCCTCGTGACGAAGCCTTGGCGAAGAAGTCGGCACAGTCCTAAGCTCTGTTAGTTGTGGAAAGGGATATAAGAGATGAAAGTATACGCACATGGTTCTCTTCGAACTCAAAGATATAAGCACCCGGTAACCGACTATGACCTTTTCCAACAGCGATCTTATCAAAGTCCACTGCGCTGACCACCGCAGCGTAGAGCGCAGCAACTATACTTAATCGCACCATGATGAAAAGAAATACACCAAATCACGTTCTCCGCAATCACGAAGAAATCACCAAGACACGAGAAAGAAAAGTAGAGGAAAAGAAGAAAGGGAGGATTTAAACGAGATAAACCTGATCCCGCCTTGGAAATAGGTCGGCTGGGGATCCTATGTACGATCATCATAGCCCCATTATTGACACAAGCTGTGGGTTGATCCATGATGGGGAAAGAAAAGGAAGAAGTGGGTTTCTGCGGGATAGTAGACTTTACGAGATTGCAGGCCATGAGAAGAAATCCTACGAATGAGAGCGTAGGATATATTTGAAACAATTGTCTTGGATACTCTCTGCCAATAGACTAAAAGGTTAGTTGCAGTTCCAAGAGTCGGTATCACTTCACAACTGAGAAATCCGCAGGCGGACGGAGGTTGGGTTGGGTTGTCAACATGAGATCGACAGGCACTGCACGGATGATGAAACTGGGTCCATGTCGCTAAACATAGAGTCATCTATGGTAGAGCCGCATGAGACGATTGCGCGTACATGCAGTCGAGACAAATCAAGACAAATTCATGGTTGAAAAGGGTCTAGTTGGATGCAAGTTTGCGGTTGGGTATCTATGTCTAAATATGAACTCAACCACCAACCTTTAACTCTGGCCGTTGCACCTTCAAAGCGAATACTACTATGTACGTTCCGTCACTTGAAACTCAATCAAACATCGTCATCCGATCCTCTTGATCCTCCTTGCACATCTTAATCTGCGCCACGATCGTCAGGAGAAACAATGCTACCTTAACCCACGACCTTGTTCCCGTGAGATTTCTACGGCTAGCATGGTTGATCATGCACATGATTCATCAGATAACACTATCCACGGAATTCAATCCGCCTATGCAAGACTTATGCAGCACTTCCCGTGTCGTACCAAGCTGAACCTCGTATTTGCGGCACATGAAAAGAAACGGCACTAGCCTGTGCTTGGATACACGTAGCCAATTGGGCCCACGCCACCATATGCAGGGCGGGAGACGTTTCTAAAATAAAATAGAGGAAGATTCTTGATTTTTCAAATTTTGAGAATGGGGCGTACATGAGGTGATTGATTGATCATGGTGTGATATGGAACGCAACTTTACTCTCTTGCACACGCCATTGAATTGGTGCCTCATTGTTATAACTGACTCTTACCGTTGAGAAAACGCAACGGGCACATACACCACGTTTTGTATCACCGTTGAACGGTAGGCCCGTTGTGCGGCGCCGTTGCTCGTGATTGTTCCCGCGTGTAGTCACACAATACCGATTCAACTTCAACGCACGACTCTGTACGGCACAATATCCAAGACAACAGTAATTGATTCACAGATACCACTAACCAGCCACCCAGAAGACCATGAACGAATTTGCTGAGAAGGGGGGAGCATGCGCTCGGGTAAAAGTCTTGCGCTTGACCAAGCTGTAGTGAGCATCTGCATAGTAAGCTTACAAACGGCATTTGAGCCTTATCACAGCTATAATGATCCGGCAGATAAAGAAAATCCCGTTGTGGCTACGCCGAGACAAGCTCCGTGCCTCCGGCGCCGTCTCCGGAGGGACTGTGTCATGCCCCATCTGTGATTGGTTCACTGCACCGTGCCGAGTGTGTGAAATGTTCAAAAAGGTTGGACCAGAAAATAAGAAATGCGACATTGCTGCCCAGTGAATCATTAATTAATTTATAACACTCTCCCTTGTTCAAATGCAAAATTAAGCCTGAAACTTTACAACATCATAGTTTGAAGACGGCAGACATAAACGAAGACACCATGTCGGAACGAGATCCTCGTACAAAGGAGCAATCCTCTACTCACGATACCGAGCGCAATATACAACCATCCGAAGAACCGAAAAATAAGGAAAACGTCTCGGCTTTCAAATCCCTTGGCTGGCTCGACCGTTTTCTAGCAGTATGGATCTTCCTCGCCATGGTAGTCGGTATTATCTTGGGCAACTTTGTCCCTTCGACTGGACCGGCTCTTGAGAAGGGCAAGTTTGTTGGCGTTTCTGTTCCAATAGGTATATAAACAGCTTATCCGGTGGTACAAGTATACTTATCAGATGTGCTAGCTGTCGGCCTGCTCGTTATGATGTATCCCATCCTCTGCAAAGTTCGATATGAGAGTCTCCACGAGATCTTCTCCCAGCGGGACGTCTGGAAGCAAATTCTCTTTAGCATTTTCATCAACTGGATAGTTGCGCCCTTTTTGATGGTAACCCATAGCCCCATTTCCTCAAACATACAATATTCTGACGATGACAGCTCGGCCTGGCATGGGCCTTCCTCCCAGACAAGCCCGAACTTCGCATCGGTCTTATCCTCGTAGGCCTCGCACGCTGCATCGCCATGGTATTAATCTGGAACGGTCTTGCTGGCGGTGACGCCGAATACTGCGCTATCCTTGTGGCCATCAACTCGATACTGCAGATGGCTCTATACGCGCCAATGTCTGTGTTCTTTATCTCGGTGATCAGCGGAGAGGAGGGCTCTCTTGAGGTGTCGTACTCAACCGTTGCAACCAGTGTAGCAGTCTTTCTCGGCATCCCTCTCGGCGCAGCTATCATCACTCGCTTCTCCCTGCGCAAGATGGCCGGACCAGAGTGGTATGAGCGTGTCTTTTTGCGCATCATCTCCCCCTGGTCTCTCATCGGCCTTCTTTACACCATCCTCATCCTCTTCGCTTCCCAAGGCCATCAAGTGGTCCATCAGATCGTGTCTGTAGTACGCGTCGCAGCCCCCCTCATCGTCTACTTCGTTATAATCTTCTTCGCAACACTTCTGGTATCTCGACATGCTGGTTTCGGATACCCTCTCTCTACAACGCAGAGCTTTACTGCGGCGAGTAACAATTTCGAGCTTGCGATAGCAGTGGCTATTACCACGTTCGGACCGAGTAGCGACCAGGCGCTTGCGGCGACGGTTGGCCCGCTGATTGAGGTTCCGGTGCTTTTGGGGTTGGTGTATCTCCTTCGGTGGGTTTCTGATAGATGGAACTGGAAGAACTGAGTTTTGGGATATGTAGTGAAACATAGTATCAGGTCATCTCGTCCATCAAATTGAGCAAATCCGTGTTGCGGACCATGCAGGTTTCGCCTTCGGCGCATCCAAGAACAGCTCGAGCTTGAGATATGTCTGATTGGCCTCTGATTTGAGCCAGGATTGTAGCGGCTTCCATACAGTGAATTTTGTCAGGAGATTTTGGTTGCTGGGGTCCGGGCTGTTGCTGTGGCTGCGATGCAGGCTGTGGTCTAGGACAGCAGCCTGATTCTTCTGTGCAAGACGTAGCAGTCGTAGCAGGTGTTGGCGGCGAGTACATCTTGGGCTGAATCGCAAACGGAGGGTTACTATTTTCCCTCACCGGAGCGCATCCCTGAGGCTGAGAGCACGGCATAGGTCTCGAGGCAATAACAACAGGCGAAGCATTGGAAGACGGCGTCGAAACGGGCGTGACAGTCGCCACACCCGTTCTCGCAACCATCTTCTCCCCGTGCCTCACAGCCTCAACATGAGCCTCAACCTCCTCAATCGACACGCCCTTCGCAGCAAGCAAACCTCTCAGCGCAGCATTCTCCCCAGCAACAGCCCTCGCAACACGCTGCATCTCCAGCGTAGCCTGACCATCGCGACGCTCAAACTCACGCACGCGATTCTGCAGATCGTCGAGTAATTCACGCTGTCTTGCGCGAGAGCGACGCTGGTTCTCGCGATTGAGAGCGAGAGACTCGGGTGTTCGAGTCTAGTTGGGCTTAGTATTTTGACGGATATACGGGAGTAAGGGTGGGAAATATCGTACCTTGCGTGGCATGATGGATTGGGTGAATTTTCTAGCTGAAATGAGACGGGCTCAGGTGAGATGGTGGACTCGGGTACTGGATAAAATGCGCTGGAGAATGAGTCGAATTGGTTGGAAAAGATTGTCTGAAAAGGCGTCGTACAGCACCAATAGTTTTCCGGTCCCACCAGGCTTGTGGTCTATCTAATACGAACTGAGTAATGGCTCTACAACACTCAATCCCTCACTGAATAGACCTCTTTGGTGAATACTACGGAGTACTGTACCCTGTATTAATGAGTGTAGATCAATTGAAGCAATACTCCGTAAAACAACAGCATTCACTCCATTTCGACCCACGGCCAACAAACCGTGATCGCTCGATTACAAACCCTCCACATTTTTCCTTCTCCATGTGTCCCAATTAGGTAATCCCAACTTCGGTCCAGACTCAAACTCCACCATCGTCATTAACTTCTTTCACCCTCTCCTCCAGCAAAAGCCAATTGATTCAATTGCACTCTAACACAATGATCTGCAATACTTGTCGCCGCGCAGCAATGCGCTCTGCTCGTCTGCCTCTGCGCACACTTGTCCGCGCTCCTACAACCATCACCCGCATTACAACACAAATACCTACATCAACGCCCCGAAGACTTCTCTCGACTTCTACCACTCGGTTCTCCGCTGCCGTTGAGGAAGAGCCCGATCTGCCTTCCATGAGCCCCGCCGAGTCTGCCATCGCCGAGATACTCTCCGAGAAGCTTCAACCCACTGAACTACTTGTCCAAGATGTCTCGGGTGGTTGTGGGAGCATGTACGCCATCGATATCACATCCCCTGCTTTCAAGGGTCAGACAATCCTTAAGCAGCAGCGTATGGTGAATGCTGCTCTCGGAGATCTTGTCAAGGGCTGGCACGGCGTTCAGATCAGGACCAAGGTCCCTTCTGCTTAAGCGCAGTTAGGGTATACAACGGCGAAAACTGGTGGAGGTACGGGATGAGACGATTGTACGACTATTGAGATTGCTAGAGTTCGGGACGACACGAATGGGAAGACATACCGGTTCTATAATCGCGTAAGATTTAGATCATGTTGCGGCTCAGCAGCGAATGGATCAATTGAGCCTTTAAATCGACAGGCTGCTGTATAATAGAGAAACAGAGGAACAATGCATGGGAATCACGGCCGAAATCTCAGCTATGGGGCAAAGCATAAAAATATCATTCATCGTCAAAACACATACCTGTCAGATGCAGCCGTTCGGTGGTGACTTCAGTTCTGTATTTGTGTCACATGCATTGTCCGATTTCATTCCGACTGAATGTGCCGGATACAGCCTCGAGGGATGAGTGCGTTTGTGACTCAGGCCGAGGGACCTGCCATACCTGCAAAAAGTTTCTAGGTGGCGAGCCAATTCACTATCGAAAGATTCTGTGACTCCTCAGGGCTATCGTTGAGTCCAGTGGACGTAGTCTGTCGCTTTGTCCAGTGGCTGAGGCTTGAGAAGCACTCACTCCAAGTGAAGCTGGACGTTTTGAAACAGCACAGATCAGAACTACCACAAAGATAAGTTGAATGGGTATATTATAACTTTTCATAGTCTCGTCTAATGCGCCATCAGTCGAGTTAATAAGACTCGACGCCCATCATTCCATGCCCCTCTTTAAATTCCTGTCCCATTTCTGTTGCAAATTCTTGTTTAGACTCGTAGCTTACATTCTATACATCATTAGAAATTACTCATGATAGGCATTTTCGGGGAACATACCGCTCAACAGGTGTAAGACCAAGCAGACTCATGCCATTGTGGAGGACAATTCGGGCAGCATCGTACAGAGCCATACGAGCTTTCTGGAGCTCAGGCTCGCTGCCGACAATTCGGAGGTGATCGTAGCTGGAGCTGAGAACGTGTGTCATCTTGAACAGGTATGTCAAGATGGTGGTGGGCTCAAGGGTCTTGAGAGTGTTCTGGACGACGTCGGGCCACTGGCTAAGAAGTCGGACGAGATCCGTAGCGTGCTTCTCAGTCAAAAGATCGTAGTTGGCAGTGGCCAGCTCATCATCGGAGAGGCCAACTCGTCGGCGGATAGAGCACAGACGAGCATGAGCATACTGGAGGTAAGGACCAGTATCACCCTCGAAAGAGGTCATGACGTCCATGTCGAACTTGTAGTTGTTGATTCTAGTTTTGTTAGTAACAGATATTCCAATGAGTTCAGGATACATACCGCTTTCCAGACATGTCCTGGACCATAACACTGCTGATACCAAGGATATCGGCAACAGCCTCAGGGTTCTCGACCTGAGAGTACTTGGTCTCATTCTTCTTCATGACCTCGTGCATCTTGTCGGCGACATCACGGAGAATATCGTCGAGGAACTTGACAGTACCCTTTCGGGTGCTCATACCAAGAACCATACCGAAGTTGATGTGCTGACACTTCTTAGCAATATCCTCGTGGCCCATAAGCTCAATGGTCTTGAAGAGCTGCTTCAAGTGGAGATCTTGTTGAGAAGCAACGACGTAGATCATGTGGTCAAAGTTGTACTTCTCATGTCGGTTGAGAAGCTCGCTGATATCTCGGGTGAGGTACAGAGCAGTGCCGTCCTTCTTTCGGAGAATGACCTTCTCGAGACTCTTACCAGGCTTGCCAGGGACGTGCTTGGAGAAGTCAATGAGGATAGCGCCGTTAGCGTCCTCGGTAAGGCCCTTCTCAGAGAGGACCTTGGCGGCCTTCTCCATGTCCTCCTCAGGGACCTGAGACTCTCCTGAGTACTCGTCGTACTCAATGTTGAGTCGGGCATAGGTCTTCTTGTATCGAGTAATGCTGAGATCTCGGAATCGTCGCCAGAGCTCGACGGCCTCCTTATCACCATCTGTCATTCGTCGGAAGTACTTTCGGGCTTGCTCGTCCAGGGACTTCTCCTCAAGCGCGGTGATGTCCTCACCAGCAGCCTTCTTAGCCGCAATCTCCTCCTTCTCAGCGGACATATCCTGGTTGATTCGGACGTAGAGGTTGAAGAGGTGGTTAATAGGATCGGCCTTGAGGGCTTCCTCATCACCCCACTTCTCCCAAGCCAAAGCCAACAGGCCATACTGCTTACCCCAGTCACCAAGGTAGTTCATTCGGGTAACCTCCCATCCAGCACTCTCGTACAAAGAAGCGAGGAAACCACCAATGATGGTACTTCGGAGATGACCAGCGTGGAAAGGCTTGGCAATGTTGGGCGAGGAGAACTCGACAATCATTCGCTTCCTGCCAGAGTTGGGGTCGCTAGGGTCTCGGAGACCGTTGTAAGGGTTCTTGCCGTAGTTGTTGGCGCGCTTTCGAATCGTAGGGAGGAGCATGCTGGTAAGCTTGTTGGGCTTGAAGAAGAAGGAGATGAAGGGACCAGCAGCGGTAGGCTTCTCAATAAGAGGAGACTCAGGGAACTTCATTATGTTAGCTATAATTCAGCAATTGCTCTTTTATGCGACTCACCTGAGCAACCCATTCCTCAGCAAGCTCTTGAGGCTTCTTGCCTTTCACTCGGAGAGCAGGAACAGCAAGAATAGCATCGCCCTTGTCGAGAGTCTGAGTCCACTGGATGGCGGGGTAGATAATCTTAGGATCAACACCAGTAATAGGCGCCAAAAGACTCGTGATGTGTGAACGGTATATGTCGACGGGGTTGGTATCAGGGTGACAGCCAGGGAAAGACTCGATGTTGTCGAGGCCGAGCTGCTGGAGCTGGTCGGCGAGAGCGTTGGCGTCTGTCGCCATGGTGCGTATATGTTTGATGGAGGAGGGGTACTTGTAGTCGCGATGCAATATCTGTTGTCGCGGGGACTGACGAGTCGAGAGTAGAGAAATGGTACGAGTCTGGACAAAAGCTTGTCGCAATGGCAAAGAGGATGTTACAAGATAACAAGAAGTAGAAGAAGAGAAAAAGGTGGAGGAAGTGAAGCGCCGCGCGAGCATCAATGGCGATTCCGAGCGAGTGAGTGTGAGTCAAGTGGGCTCAAGGGTTAACAAAAAAAAATGGCTTTTGACTCTTTCACTTCTTTCCTGCGAGTCATCATTCGCCGGGGACGGATGCAGAGCTTGAAATCGCGGGGCACGGTTGCCCTGAAATTCCGCTCCGATTTTACCCCTCCATCCATGTCAGGCCATGATAAGATATGATTCCAACTTCATGCGACTTTCATATTGAGTCACGGCCAAAACAAACACTCATGGATCTCAGCACTTCAGTATTCATTGAGGGATTTTCTAAGATCAATTTGTATTGAAGATTGAACAGACTAAAACGCTATTGCTGACCACTTAAAACACCCAGTGATATTTGCCGAACCTTTTCACACTTAACATGAAGTAACCCCTCCGAGGTCCTTCAGAGCAAACCAACCCAAATTAATAAAGAACCGAAACTAGACATAGCTTATTTTGATGCGCCGTAGTTGTGAGACAACTCCCTCGAGAAGTCTATACAACATGCATTAGAGGGGTATAACAAGGAAAGATCTAGACGTTGTGGTCGCCAGGGTTCATCTTCATGTCGTTGGTGCCAAACTTGCCACCGTTCAACTTCTTGCGGGCAATCTCCTTGCGCCACTCAAACATGGTATTGGGCTTGTCCCTGATGGTTTGGCGAAGCTTCTCGTCACTTCGCTTCATCCATGCGTTGGAAGAAGCAGTGCTGACGGGGTAGAGAGGCATGCTGTTGTGGCTGAGAAGGAATGAATCCGGCTCGCGCTTATCATGAGACGCAATAATATCCATATCAGCCGCAATCTGATCGCAGTAGATCTCAAGGGGAAGATCGTTGACATCATGTCCAAAGGGGTTCTCGATTTCCTGGCCGATAAATAGAAGTCCGAAAATGATATAAGCGGCGACAATAGAAGCAGGAATCGTAATATACTGGAGCTTATCGACAAGCTGGAAGGGGAGGACAAAGACATAGACGAAGGTGATCTGGCTGATAGCAATGGTGTAAGCAATGGGAAGAGGAGTGTTGAGAACACGGTCACAGCCAGTCATGCAGTCGTTCATCATGGTGAGATGATTGTAAGCAAGAGTCTGCTGCATTGGGACAGGGAGTTGCTCCTGAGCGACCATTCGATCGATGGTGATGGCGAGATGGTTGAGAATCTCGAGAGGGAGGTTGCCAAGAGGCTTGTCGGTCTTCTTAAGAGCCTTACGGGGGTTGCTCTGAGCAAACGACACACCAAGGTACTCTCCAACGGACTTGAACATGTTCTTCTTCTTAATAGAAGGACCGTCAGGATCAGCGGCAGTGGCATCCTTGGCAAAGGTGTTAAGATGGCCGATGAGATGCTCCAGATCGGGGTAGGCACTGTAGGGCTCGAATCGAAGGGCATGCTTGAGAGAAACTGAGAAAGCAACAATAAGGTTCATCGCGCCAATCTTCTTGAGGATAGTCTCGCGGGGGTCTTGGTCTGGGACATCCTTGGCGTGAATCCAGAAGACACGGCCCAGTGTCTGAGAAGCCATGGTAAGCATACCCCAGTATCGGCGACCTTCTGCGTAACGCTCGTACGCAGTCGAGGATCGGAACGAAAGACTAAGACCGACGACGAAACCCAGAATGGTGAGCAGAACCGAGTCAACAGAAATGTCGTAGACCAGCTTGTAGATGAGTGTAATGGCAGTCGACCAGGCGCCAATAGCGACCAGAGGGATGATCAACTTTGGCATGATGGAGCCGTGCATCTGCATAACGAGAGGCCATTTTGAGTGCTTCTGAATATCACGAGGACCGGTGAAGTAGTCATCAATGTCGAGAGAGGTCTGCTTGCGGAAAAGAGCTGGGTTGACGCCTACAGCGGGAGAAGGGGGAGAGCGAACATTGTCGAGGGGGATTTCGAGACTGTGCAGGCGCTTTTGATCGGAAGTATCGAGGCTTTGAAGACGCGTAGGGTCATTTTTTGGGGATTGAGGCTTCTCCTGGGCTTCAGTGTTGGTGTCAATTGTTGGTCGGTTGACGGCCGTGGTGGCTGTATGGCCAGAAGTTGCGGAATAGCTATCACCCATGATGCCAATTGCCGCGTTCGATGTCGATGTATTGAAGAGATGAGAGATGCTATCCTGCCAGCAGGCGTGCAAGGGTGAAGGAAAATGCAGGCCGATGAGAAAGATGAGAGGAAATAGAGAGAGGATGCTCAAAGGAAAAGCCAAGAGCAGTAGGAGTCAGTTGATCACAAACGAGAGTGAGAATAGGAAGAGACCAGACGAAGGAGATGCACGCACGGGGGAGGGGCTTGTATTAATGAATCACGAAAGAGGAAAGAAAGGAAGTGGACAGGATGGACGGGACGCTCCTGGCCTGATATGGGGATTGAAGCTCATCCATCTCCATCGGGAGAGCATCCCATTCCCAGGAGGACGACAGCAAACAACCTAGGAGCTAATGGCTAAGGCTAAGTGGAGGTGGTCTCAATGCCGCCACCACTCAGGAACGCTTGCAAGCCAGGGTCCCAGAGAGAAGCCCCCTGTAAGGTCCTGGCGTTTCGTTCCCCTATTGGCTCATGGCCACCACACCGGCGCCGCCGCTTCTAAATTTTGTGGTCTCAGCGGCAGGGCCCGCCTGGGCAAAAGCACTAAAAGAGCCCTCCATGTGTAAGTCGTTTCTGGTGGAGAGAATTTTTTCGTACTGTGCTGTTGTCGTACCCGGACTCCAGTTATAACGCTCTCCCTGGGAGGAGGAGCAGTCAGCGCTACCTGGCCGAGGCCTTCAACGCACGACTAGAACTTTGAAACGCAGCTCGCCCCCTCTAATGCACGCTACCCTCCGTTGGTTTTTTTCTCTTCCTCTTGTGGGCGGCAAAAGACAGAATAAACAAGTTGAAGCAAAACATTTTCCATGAGTGAATACGATTCGTCATAAAGCCTCACTTGCTTGTTGTGATCATCAGAAACAGCAACCTCCTTGCTCTCTGTTTGGAGAAACTCAAACGCCATGTCTAATTCTGAGACAGCAGAGATGCAAGTGTGTGACACTGCACAAGTCACGATGCATTATGTAACGGGCAACACAAGAGATGATCCAAAGTTCTAGGGGATGGCGAGACACTGATCGATCATGATGAACGGGATGGCATGCGAGTTTCAGGGGGCCGAAACCTAATTGGAGCCCTGACACCTTATTCGCACTTCCGTACGGAGGTATGTCCAACAAAAACCGTCCACTGAACCGCGCTGTCTGTCGACGTCTCTATTCCCGCGTTTAGTTGAATCAGGGGGCGCCTAAAAGCCAAGTCAGGACATTCAAGGAATATGTCAGTGTAATGACTCTCGCCTCGTCCTCAATTGGTCGTTATTACAAAAGGAGGTCCGTGACGTGGTCAAGCTTCCATTATGAGTAACAAAGCCTTACTCCCTTGCCCAAACAAATGGGGCATCTGTGAGCGAGAAGAAAAAATAGGCTGCACAGCCCCCATCGGACGTCAAAGAACAGCTGGATCCAATGAGCAACGTTCGACAAGAGACATTCACGGTCTTCTGTTGTTCTCCTTTCTCGGACTAGGGAGACGGTGGTAGAATTAGGCTCGTAACTAAACTTCTGCTGGCTCCGCTGCATCATCTAATTTTATACGAGATTCGTCACCTCATTGGTCTTGAATCTTCAACTGTTGCCGCATATCCTTTGTCTCCCTTTCATCGAAGAGCAGAGACTTCTTTACTGCCAGCACATAATCACTCATAATTCTGATCATATGGCAATCATTTCTTTGTTTGATCAACTCTCGCTTCACTCTTTCGACAACCTTCACACACAGTATCCCTCACAGTCCAGCACAGCCCTCGAATCCTTGCGGAGCAATTTCTTTGAAAATCTCCAGTCTCCACTGCGGGATACGCGTTGCACTAGAATACCAAGCTTTTTCTCTGATCTTGTTCTGGCGAGTCCGTCTGTTGATCAATATTGTAGCTTATTCTCAGTCTCCCCAGAAGCCAAGTCCCTCTTCCGTAACTTGGCTTTTTGGTATTTCGCGTCGATGCAAGTAAGATTGTTCGCCTATTCATGTCCACAGGTATCTGCACCTAATCCTTGGCTGCAGTGCACAAGAAAAGCCTCTTCCGCGTGACTGTTCCTTTTGAGCTATAACTTTCGAGTTCATTGCCACTGCAGGTCGCCTTTCTGCAGCCATTGATATGCGGATGCATGGCTGTTCACCTCATCAAGTGAATCCGATGTGAGGCGACGTCGAAAAAGGGAACAGACAGGACCCATGTTTTAGCCCCCGTGTTGTCAAGCAAGGATCGTGGCATGGGCAGCGATTCAGTAGGGTTCATGCCTCATCAACATGCGGTCAGCAACGAGCTGAAGCGCCACTAATAGTTGAAGCCTGCCGTGATTCATATCAAGTATAATGCACGCTCCGTATTTTCCGCGAAGGATCACCTAGAAAATATGGGCAAATTAGGATTATTGTTCACTTTAACCCAAGACACAAATTATTTTCATATTTGGTCAACTGCATCCTGGGATGGGTCATAGCCAGGGCTTTCATTCGATACACGAATCCTGAATACCTTGGCGATATTGATCTCGGGAAAAAGGAGACCATCGCGAACTCGGACTTTCTTGGGCCCCGTAACCGTGTTCTGTCGCCTGCAATTGAGTTCCATGAGAAAAAAGAATGTTTCCAAAACTCACCTGAAGTTCCCTTCTGTGCTACAAAGTTTCTTCCCCAGATCCGATACTTTTCACCGTCGCTTGAGTTACCTGACTAAAAACATGAGACTGGTGTTGTCGTTTCATCGTCAGCCTCAAACCCTTCCCTTCCACGTTAGGGCAAATTAGTCTGGCAATGGCGGGGAGGATTACATGGATCTCGGATTGGTCGACGGTACGGCTTCGTAATAAGCACTAGCTGAGACAGGATGAGTTTGCAGGAGATTGGACTTTTTAGGAGGCTGCGAATCGGCAAAGCCCCGGGATACGATGATATTTTCCTCATTTACGAAATATTGATGAATTGCTGCACATGTAGCCGAGGCCTGAGAGACATGGAGATGAACCAGGCACTATCCTCTAAGCCTCGATTTGGTCACTTCGGCTGCGTAAAGATGCATTGAGCTTGAAGGATTCAGACTGGGTTGCTCGTACCAAGACGAGGACTTTTCCATTGTCAATGCTAACGGCATCCGTACTTCATAGGTACGCTCTGGGCACCCAATTATACTTGTTCGTCCATTTTCGTCTATATTTATCGGTATAGCATTTTCGTTCAGCTGCGATAATCTGTACTGACCACTCCAAGACGCCAGGCAGGCGGATGAAGCCACAGGATAGGGTATCCTAAGGCCATGGCTGTTGCTCGCTTCAGGTGATCATTCTCTGTGGATTTCGTAGGATCAGATGGGGGCGGAATCAGTGTCTGTAAGTGTCAATCAAGAGCCCTGAGGACCCGAGCTCAAGGGCATGAGTACTCGAAGCTGGCAGCTAGCTAGGGCCGCAGGAACGGAATCCATCTGAAGGAGTTGTTGCCCGATATGCAGCTGATTTGAGTAGTTGCATGCGCTTTGGGGGCCATTACGTTGCCAACTTAACCTATAAACTTCCTCAACGCAGAGATGATGGGTATCTAGGATAAGGACTTTGGACTTCAATACTCAGTCTAATATACTCGTATCATAAGCCTTCGTCTCTGACAAGCTCGTTGGGCAACCCTCCCATCAGACGGGCTTGTGCGTCGTGATTCATTGTGTCACTACGTATCAGCGGGTTTTCTGCCTCGCCTGCTGAGATATGTGAGCGACCTTGTCGGTGGTTTAACTCTGTTGCGACCATCCTGGGTGCGCTTATACTCTTCTCGACGCATAGTTCAGCAGAGGAGTTTCTGAGCCCACGGCCTGAGGTCCTGTTTGAGGTTGCGAGATCGCCGAGCTCTCTGCGCACCAGAAGTTGGTGATCACGATGGTAGGGCTGAGTGGCAGCTCAAGCAGAAAACACGGGGATTCTGACTGAATAAATCAACTTGCAGCAGTTGTAAGGGTACGCCTTCGTGTTTATACTGTGGGCGCTCCAAGACTCGTTAATCCGGACTATCAAACATGCACGAAGTTTCCTATGGCTCAAAGCAGCAGTCGCCGAAGCTTATCATATTGAGACATTGAGCTTGGTATGGTGGCTTTGAAGCTTCGTGGCGGTCCAATCTGTGAGCGCCTGTGGTGATAAGCTTGATCGGTTTGCTACCCGTCGCACCTGAAAGATTAACTCTGATCTCTGGCCGTTATGAGTGAAATCACTAAATGTGTATCATGATCAACACTCACTTCATTCCAAACCACGTCAATGATGCAAATGAGGAAGAACAGTCCCTGATCTCCATTGTTGAAGAAGTCAGTGGCTCACTATACGCACTAACGCAGGGGATCCAATGAAGACGATCCACCAGATGCGGCCAAGCCACTGCGGCTTTGAAGGGTCTGGCTCTGACTGCCCCAAATCCATTCCATTCAAGGGCGAGCTCCCCGTCACCCCATCCCAGTCAAGGGATAATCCTCAAGACCCCCTAAGAACAAAGTGCCTGACCACCAAACCTCGAGTATCGTCAACTCTTGCTTCAAACTCCGACCCTTTCGACTCTCATTTATCCCCCGTCGCAGTTCAAAACACTCATTGCCTTTTCGAATTCTACCTTTTCCGTGCGCCCATCTCGACCGCCATTGTTTCATCATGGCTGGTCATTGGAGTCCTCGACAGCGTACGAATCGCGCCAACACTGTCGGCGCATTTGTCTTCTTCGTCTTCTTCATCTACTTCTTCCGCGACACTTTTTTACCCTCGAGTACGCCGGCGCGAAAACATAGAAATGATTACTCTCATATGGCCTTGGGCGACAACGATGTCGAGATGGTGGTCGCAAGTATGAAGCATGAAAATGTTTCGTGGCTTGATGAATATCTCCCTGAATGGAAGAAGAACATCTACGTGGTCGACGACAACAAGGCCAAGTTGACTGTGCCTATGAATAAGGGTCGCGAGGCCATGGTCTTCCTGACGTATGTCTTTTTGTTCCCAATTTTGTAGTCCTGATACTGATATTTCTGCCTGCAGCTACATCATTGATCGATACGACTCCCTGCCCGGCAACGTCGTCTTCCACCACGCCGAGCGCTTCCAATGGCACAACGATAACCCCGATTACGATGCTCTCCCTCTGCTCCAAAACTTCCGTTTCGATAACCTAAAGAAGGTCGGCTATGCCAATTTGCGATGTGTCTGGGTCCTTGGTTGTCCTGCTGAGATTCGACCTGTCAAGGACGAGGCTCCTGCGAAGGAGGGCGAACCTATTCACGCCCGCCATGTTTACAAGGCCGCTTTCCAGGAGCTATTTCCCAGTCTTGAGATTCCTGAGGAGGTCGGCGTCACTTGCTGCTCGCAATTTGCTGTTCGCCGTGAGACCATTCACTTGCGTCCTCGCGCAGAGTATGTGCGATTTCGTGAGTGGCTGATTGTGTCTGCCTTGGGAGATGACCTCAGCGGCAGAGTTCTTGAATACTCATGGCACAGTACGTTCAATGCCCACACAGTTACTCACTGATAAACTAACTTTTCGCAGTCATCTTTGGCAAACCCGCAGTCAATTGTCCAAACGCCGCCGATTGTTATTGCCAGAACTATGGCATGTGCGATTTAAAGTGCGAGGCAGATAAGTGTGAAGGCCAATACACACTCCCTCCCTTCTCAACCCTCCCCAAGGGCTGGCCCCAGCTCGGATGGAAGGGAGAGAACCGTGGATGGAAAGGACAACCATAAATAAAGGAGGGACAAATATAATGGACCCGCATCGCCTACAGGGATTTTACGAATAATGGGGGTTTTCTCGAAAGTCTGCACTGCATGTTTAATTTGGGGCCTTTCATGGGAAGTGTTTCGACGAAAGGGAAGCGCAAGTATTCCCTACTTCTGGGTTTCTGGAATTATTGGTTATGGGATGGGCGTCTAGGAT